GAAATTTGTTAAAATCAGAAATGAGCGACACAACAGACTCTTCTACATCAGCCGCTTATCTCGATCTTATTCTACAATAAAACCAACATGGACAGCTTTCAACCAAGCTGTATGATAAACTTGATGATTTCAATAAACATATTGTGAATGTTCCATTTGTGAGTAGTTACATTCCTCAGTCCCCAACCTGTGGTGTCTACATTTCGAGCGTTATTTGACATTCAAGGGACTGCTGCCATTATTAGGATTTCCGTGCAAGAAGTTGTCATCTAACGGACAAACTCGTGACACAAGGTTCCAAATGATGCAGATTTATGGCCATTTTGGATGTTTCTCATTGAGAAATATATTTCTTTTAGGAATATAAAGTTTGACGTATTTGATACTTGTCGTTTGCCTGTTGGTTCCGTTGTTGTATACCCTGTTTTCTTTTGACAACGTGACATAACTTACTTGAATTACAACGATTGGAGGGTATTGTCGATGAAGCAGAAGATGCTTGTACCTCCAGAACACACGATGTTAGTATCCTTGCACTTTTTCTTCGTGTAAATCAATCTTTTACTGATATTTTGCCTTAGTTTTATTGAATATGAGTTTGGTTTATGATTATGTTGAAATGTTGGTATTTTCGTGTTGTGTAGTGAACAGCTAGACTGCATTACGGTATTTTCGCATGTAAATCTTTGTCGTTTTTATCCAACATAAATACCATAAATTGCCAGGTCAGAGCTTTGTAATCACCACGCATATTTGAGACAAGATTATGGCACGCCGAGGAGTAAGTGAAATAAGGCGGGGTTACACGTTTAACTGTTTATGTTCTGTGTTATGAGCTTGGCAGTTCTATGGTACACCATGGAATAAATCGCTGTAAAATATCAAAGGTTGCTTTCTCCTATTTTCGTTAAGCTACAACGATAAAATACAACCTGAATTGCGTTATCATTTATGTGTTGATCGTTCTGGCAGGTAAAGGCAAAATAGAGTGTTGTCGTATAACCAGAAAATAACTTTTTCGAAGCCTGTGATTTATAAAGCCAAGTTGTATAAGCATTGCTAGTGGATGTGTATATCGATTCAATCGTAGCATTCTACATATATTCCTATGTGAACTTTTGTTTCACCTTCACCAGGTTTTTGCCTCTAAATATTTCTGATTCTTCCTGTTGTTCTCTACTCTCGTCGTTCATATTGAGTATGAGCATATGCAATAGAGCAAGGTCTGGTGTCCGTCAATAATCAAACTGTTTCCATATAATGCAGCCAGTCTGTAATGTTTTGGGGGTTTTTTGTTTTTGTTTTTTTGTTGTTGTTTTTTTTTGTTTGTTGTTGTTTTGTTTATTTTTTCAACATATTGATCATCGGATAAAGAGTCAGTTCTAACGAAAGACACAAGTGGTCAAACAGGGGCAATTAGGTAAACATAAAATATCTCTTTTTTTCCTGTTCGGATAAACGAAACCGACTTAACGTGGTCTAAAACATCCTTGGGTCAAATTGACCAGATTATGTTTTGAAATCGTTCGAAAGGAAAATTCATGACTTCGTCCGTCGTATATTTCTTCTTTGATTTGGACAGAATTTTCACTAAATACCCTTCAATAAAGTTCACAACCATATGTTTTTAAAAAGTATGTTGAAAATATATCAAAATAAGAGAACGAAGGTGTTCGATAAGTTGTAAATATAGTGTGATGGGTTACAGAATGCAAAAATCAAATGTTCTCAAACATGGTTTTTTTTTCAGAAGAAAGTGTTGAATTTAGGTCAAAGTTACTTGCATGCTAATACTTAGCTCTTAGTACACTATTATTCCTATTCCTTATCCACTGTCACTTGTTCCATATATACGGTAAATGTTTATGTATGCCGAATGAAGGACGGAAAATCGTGTTTTGATAGTCACCACTGCTGTTGCACTATACGAAACTATGCTATGTTAAGAATATTTTGGTACATTTAAAGGAAATGTGGCATACCAGAGCAGTTGATCATCGAGTCTAGAACTTGCTTTTTTACTAACATGTCATATCAAATATGTGATATATGTCTACCAAGGCTATTGGAGTTATCGCTCTTCCTCCCGTGTACAAGTTAAGTAAATAGTAAAACTGCTAAATGGAAACGCTTAATTGTTGTATATACCAATGATTGATTTATCATTTCTATCTCAACACATATAAAGCCTGGTTTCTTTCGCTGTCTAACGATAAAGGTCATACATATATAAGGGTGTTTTATTTTGTAAACTATCAGAAAAGATAACCAATGAAATAATTGTGGACCTCAGATAGGTCGGACTGGTATATCAAGAAATAGAAAGGCAAAATTCTCTTTCATCGGCGTGCAAGTTAATTTGTTGACAAAGTATTTTATCGAACGTAAAACCCATTGAATAAATATATAAGCTTAGGCTGGTGTTTGAAAGATGATAAAAACCAACTCTGAGGTAATTCTCAGTACGGTGTGTACAATACCCACGGAGAGTATACATGTGTGTGTGATCGCATAGCCTATTTTCAACGGTCGCACGTCCAAAAAAAGGGTTTGTCGTTACCTTCTGTCCCACTCGAAATAAAGAATATTGCTAATAAACGTATGAATGTTTGAAAAAAAATTATTACAAATTCGCAAGTTCATTTTTTCGAGTATGGTCGCATCAGTCAACTTGCTGACAGTAAACTCGTCCCTGAAAAGTACATTTTCTGCTTCCCAGTTGAAGTTCGCAATCGGTGCCAAATATTAATAGGAACGAAAGATAAGACTTAAGAACTACATCAGAATTGTATTTTTGTAAGAAAGTTGTAAGGGAAAAACAAATACTTATTGACTGAAAAAATGGGGGCACAAAACACATACGGATTGCCACAGTTGAAGGATAAGATGTACCAACTACAAGTTATGTCTGACTGAACCCGTCTGATGTAGCACATATATTTCCTTAGTCTTCCATACCGATTGGGTAGCGAATAGAACTGGTTGATCAAGTGTCGTCCCTTACTGAGGTGTAGTTGTCCATCCCAATGTCTGCAATGGTTAATTGCTTATCCGCAGATGTCAATAGGGACAATCTGTTTCACATGAACATGAATACATAAATGTACATATTTGGACATAGCAACACAATGAACGAAAGACAACAATACAGAGCATCGTATATTAAGCATTTTCATTGGTCAATGTTTTAACATTATCATCTTGTAACATCAAAAATCGATGTCATGCTGTAACATCACGTTTGATTATATAAATGTTGAAAATATGACAATCTGTGATTAAACAATATATATTATTTCTATTGAGTGTACAAGTCATGCTTTCTGCTGTGGCACAATAACATAAAATAATCACAGTTAATTATTTAATAATAGATGAAAGTCCATATTACACTTTTATTATGTATATTAATATTAAACATATGTGGATCAGGAAATGATCGTTGGGCGTTGTATTGCGACAAAAAATCTTTATAACTGAAACGAAAAACTTTTTTTCTTCAAAGACAACTACAACGTACATCATATGTGTAGCCCTGTTTTGATTTATTTGTTATAAAACAGCAGTTCATTAGACATTGTACATGTTGTTTTCAACAGCGAATCTCTCAACCATGGATGCATCCTTACAGTTCCACTGGCTATAGGGTATAAATGTAATGTAACAAACCAAACTTAACATGCCATGCTCAACACAAATTAAAGATATCAAACTTACTGAAAAAAGTGATTGTAAATGAAAATATCATTTGAGTATTTGTATTTGTCAGGTGTATCTGAACGGTGAATATGAGAACACACTGTTGCAAATGAATAGAATAGTTATATTGACAAACTACATTGTTGAAATGTGGAGGATATTTCGTGTTTCCTCTTTGATATTGTTTATATGTCAGAAGTATCACAGAATAGTTATGAGGACATGATTGCGAATGAATGAGATATTTATATTGACAGACTACATTGTTAAAATGTGGAGGACATTTTTCGTGTTTCCTCTTTGATATTGTTTATATGTCAGAAGTATCACAGAATAGTTATGAGAGGACATGATTGCGAATGAATAGAATAGTTATATTGACAGACTACATTGTTAAAATGTGGATGTATTGTTATGACTTTAAGGATATTTCGTGGTTTCTCTTTGATAACGTGTATATGTCAGAGGTATCACAGAATATTTCTATTTTCACAGGTATGAATTCACGAGTGCTAATTAGATACATACGCTCAGGCAGTTGAAATCTATATTATAGCTATTAGGGAAATCATTCAAATTTTGTATTTCAACATTTGGAACAAACAAATAAACAAACAGTAAATCGGTTAATTGTAACAAAGCGATTATAGGAAACACACACATAAGTTATATATGATCAATGCTGGTGATAAAAGATTTCTTAATATTACTAAAGTGATGATATAACTTTCAAATTGATAAATGTAGGATCTTAATTGAGTTTCCATTTCATATCAGATCTTATAAAAAGGCTTTGAAATTTTCTCAGATGAAACTGAAACAAATTTAAGATTCTCTTTATCACATTCCTCAGAAAAGTGACAGATTTTTATGTACAAATATGGAGGATGCAACCAGTTTGTTGCGCTTTTGTCAATTTAAATGATAACATAATTATTTACATCACGATCGATTAATGTGTGGCGTAGTCTAGGAATACGCTCCCGAGTATATTGCAAATTAACAGTGGCATAAACATAAAAACATTGCATGGCCCGTTTCATTTAATATCAAGCGGAATATGTGATGAGATGCTATAAATTACTGAAAAAAATAATCATATTTATATTATAAATAACACATAAATGTAATTGATACAAAATATAACAAGAACGAAATGTCGAGCTCAAACAGCAATGCACTTATACCAACCGAATATTGTTAGGTATAACGTTTTGAGTTTTGAAAATCATCTGAAGAAACATTCACCGGAAAAATACTCTATACACTGCAGTTATCACCAATTCAATATGTTTTTAATATTATATATGGGTGTCCATGACATCTATGGTACTGGCAGTGTTGCCATCTGGTGGAGGGACTGTTATGTCCTCTTCTATCACATACTCTCTAATCAATGCTTTTCTCCGAAACCTTGATTGGAAAGCCATCTGCCAAGAGCAAAAATATAACTGCCATAACTAAGCGTTCGTATTTCAAACTATATGGTATGCATTGCTGAATAACACTACCTATCTGGGCGTTCGTCTACTTAAACGATTGTTTTGTCAAGACATTCATGTTTGAGCAGGAAAATATGCAGATTTTGTAAAAAAAATAGTTTGTCGATTCATTTCTTCGTTTAAGAGATTTATAAATAGACGAGTTTCCTTGAAAATACTTGCTGAAACGTTATAATATCAATTTAAGAATGAAAAAGAAATTTTTTTCTGTTCTTTATGATTACGGTTTCCCAGAGCGTTTGTCGTAGGATGTACCAAAATATGACAATATATATGTAAGAATAGCGACTTTGAAATTGAAGACAAAATTGCCGTGGGAGCGTAGCTAATTATTGGTCCTTGCTTAGATAGAAGATGAAAACCAAAACCATTCCAACGAGATTACTCGCTTTCATTACACATTTGCAAACTTTTTTTTTCTTTTTATTCTATCTTGAAGAAGTGGACTCTTGATCACTGCTGCAATTCCGATGATTAGAGAAATATATAATAGAAAGCTTTTTCCTATTCAAGAAACAACTTTTTTACACAAGGAGAGGTAAGTTGACTTAATTGTTAATAATGCTATTCGCTTTAACACAGGACATTTATTTCCGGAAACGTTTCTTGGCTAATTGTCTGTATAGGCGCCGTTTTCCGGTTTACTAGATAGATCATTTGAAACAAAAAGAACTCACCTTTATACCAGGCCAGGTGAGTTGACTGATTGTTTCCTTGTCAGCACCAAAAATCATCGCATTCAACGCACCTAAACATAACAACATATTTCCATGCTACATTGGTAGTAACATGCAAAAATAGATTATGATAGTATATGATTCTTAGAGAAATAAGAAAATGTTATCTGGTCATTTTAACTCTTAATTGGCATGGATAAATACTGACCACCTACCAAACCTTTCGAGATATTAGATACTTAGATTTTACCCTTCATTGGTTTGCAGATGAGTCCTTGTACAGAGCTATTTTACCTTGAAGAGGGGCTGTTATACTCTGACCGAGGATCAATCCAAATACAGGTTTATCTTCATGTATTGCATTCTGTATCCTGTTTAATAAATAAAATTTTGTAGTAGACCAAAATGACGAATTTAAAAAGTCGAAGTCGAAACTCTGAACCCTAAAGCTGAATTACTTTGCTTAACAACGGAGAACATTCGAAAATGCATAAAATATAGGTTGGTATTGTAATGAACGACAATAATACCAATTTAGTTATATCAAACATCATTATAGCATGCATGTTAATCGACAACTAAACTGTCCTCCAAATATCAGTCTCTCTCTTAAGGAAAGCTTTCGACAACGAATTCATCAATTTGTTTGTTGTTGCATGACCTTTTTCTTATTCTTTCAAATTGAAAATCATTCTATTTATTTGCATATCAAGAAATAGTTTCAATGATTAACAGTATTCTGAAGTTTGGTGAATGTAGTCCATTGCTTGTCTGATTTTGTTTTACGCTTCATAAAGTACAAAAGTCAAAACAAACAGATCTGATTTATACACAAACCAAATTTCCAAGGAAAGAGCTTCAGAATTTAACGGTTGGAACTGTAATATATAAGCACATTTAAAAGGTTGTGCAATCAGCGTCTACTACCTTAACTGAATACAGTTAGAAAAATCTTTAATATGTATGCATCATTATACATTACAAATGGCTGCTAGTTAAGGCAGTTAAGCAACCGTTTACCTATTTATGAGTGGAATTATATTGATCACTAAATACACCAAAGGGTAAAAACGCAGGGCAGTAATATCGTTACGCATCTGTGCTTTTTTCTGTTCCATATCCGGGTCATAGGTACCATGCCATGTTGATGCCTGTTTGAAAGTGAAGATAGAGCTTTAGAAGTGAAAAGTAAATAAAAACAGGGACGTCTTGAAGATGGTCATATTTCTGTACTTTTCGCAAAATGTATCATTGCCTTACTATTGCATATAGTGTGAGCATAGTAAGATAAGACATTACTTATTTCATAAATAAAGTCATTGCATATAATATTTGAGTTAAGACAGATTTGTTCCAAAGGAAGGAAATGTTCATATTTATTAAAATTATCATCGATGTTCGATTAGTTGCATTCATCGATGACTAGTAAATGTCTTACGAATGGTTAAATCTATGATATATATATGTTTTGTTACTGTTGTGAAAATTAAATCACGACGTTGTAAAAAGACACTGTGAATGAGCGAATTTGCAATGTCATCCATAGATAAGAAAAAATATCTAACGAGGTGATTGTTGATTAATAGTATTACAATAATTTGAAAAATCATTCCTGTATCTCACCTTCCTCTTTAGTGTGTAGACTATATATAGGTAAACAATTGTCATAAAAAATATACCAAGAAAAAGCGGGATGTACCAGCTGAAAACGAAAAAAGTAAATTAATATTAACTGGTGAAACTACAACAACAAACAGAACAAATCACTAAGGCGATAATTTCTTACATACAAACAATTTATTTTATTGCTAGACATTGTTAAGCTATAAAATTGATCATTATCGTGGTGGATGATTGATAACTTCATTCGTCAATTTCAAATCTCAACTATTTCATTACAAGTAGATCACATACAATTTCTCGTATCTGCACATGAACCGCTCGGGCACAATACACATGCAATGCAGAAATACGTTACTCACAGAAACAGCCGCTCCAAATCCCACGCGTCAACAATCCAGCTATAGAATACAAAAACAGAAATAAGAAAAATCTTTAAGTTCATTTTCTGTATCATCAAAATCTGGCCATAGCGCTTTTGAAAGATATGCATTGCATATCAAAAACTCAATAATGTAATTTCAAATGTTTTTTTTAATATTTTATAACATTCTTCAGATACAAAAAATGAAATTCATGGAAGTTGTTGAGAAGCCAAACATTGCTATGTTTGTTGAATGGTAACCTAATATTTCTCCGCTGTAGCGTATAACTTTTCATTAGATTAACAATTCGTGTAAGTTTATTTACATATTCCAAAACTATTTTACCTACCACCATGCCCCTGCTGGACCATACCGCCCCGCTATGAGAGGAACCAATGCTATCACAAAAGGAATTCCCCAGCAGTTCAGGCAGAATATTCTGAACGAAAACAGGAAAGAGAAAATTATCATTACAATGTGAAATTGAAATCTCTTATTGAGTGAACCATTAAACACATTGTATAAAATACAGTGATAGCGTTTTATAACAAAAATCTGGCTCCTCTGGATTTCCCCCATACTTACTTTTCGAACTTCTCCAATGATTTCATCTTGACGACATTTTGGTAGAGATTACATGTAATGTGCACGTCCCAAAGTAATACCGCCCAGTCTGAAAGGAATTTGGATGATAACGTCATACAGCGATACGTATTGCTTGCAAATTGTTTAACTTTGATTATTAAACAATAGTAAATGTCTTTAGATTTACGCAGTTGATTTTGTTTTTAGTGTCAGAATGTAACCCTAAAATAGTTTTTAATCATAAAGACAGTGCTGAATGAAAAAAAACACAAATGTTATATTTAAAGGTAATCAGAGATACGACGGTGTGTTGTTTCCTTCATGCATGTGATGATTGTGAGGATACCCTAGCTACAAAGTGTTGTTTATTGTCCATACATATTTCGTACATTGCCCTTAGTTTGATATTTAACTACTGTCTGTTTAATACAATATATATTTCACGTGTATGACAGAATATCGATATTTTTCATGAATGCGAAGCACTAGTAAAACAACATAAATATATTCTGCCATTCGCGTGAAACATATATATTGAACGGGAATCCATTACATTTATCTATTACATTTAAAGACAAACAAATTAAAAAAAAAACCCGATCCAAAGTAAAAGTAAAGCGAGTGATTAAAAATGTTTTGGAAATAAGGCTTTCCTAGAGGCATGTTAACCTAATCGTAATTCATACTCAAATTCGATGAAACCAAGTCAAAATGTGAATAGTGAAGATTTACAAGGAGAAGCATGAAAAAGACAAGGATGAAAAGACCAGGTGTTCCGGAAGAGTAAATGACTTTTGCTTCTTCGATGACACCCGCCATATAGATATTTTTGTCAAGTTTGTAATTTCACTTTCTCAAACGATAGCAATGTAACGTAATTACCAGGCATGCTTACGAGCAACAAACAAGTCAAACGTGATAATAAGCAAAGAAATTGCGACCTTAAAACATGAAACAAATAGTTTGTAATCATCTTGATTTTATGTCGAATAATTTAACATGTAAAAGTTTCCTTTATAGATGATAGAAATGTCGAGCAATTTTGATTTTCCTCAGTCTCCCTTATTTTTTTATTTTAAATGTAGGACCATCACATTACTGCCGGGTTGTAGAGGTACGAAACTGCGGTATGCTTTATTCTAGTTCATGGTTTTGCTTTAGAGTATCTAATTCTAAATTTGCATAGAAAGACGATACTCTTTCGAGGAATCATAAATCTATAGCTGCTCTCAGTGTAAAAATAGATATGCTTTTGTATTTCAGATATTAAAAGTACACTTACGAAAATATGTAATCCAGAATCCTTTTAACACACAGGCTGGACCCAACGGATACACACCTCCCTGTAGATATATACAACAATGATTATGTCATAATCATATCATGATTTTTTCATCAGGAATATCTTGATATTTGTAATACATAGTTTCTGAACTATTTCACAGCTCTTTATGTCCTATAAATCATATCAAGGGCTTCTAGTACAAAAAACTGACAATTGAAAACAGCTATAATATGTAAGGTAGCAATTATATTTTTTCTCGTAAACTTGTCAATCTATTTCTTTTTGATTTGCTCTACAGTTGTTATAGCTAGTAAAGTATAAATAGGAAAGATTCACAAAAGAGATGTAGTATCAATACAATACGTTTACTTGATTGATGCTGTATCGCAGATGAGGGAAACAAGTTTGAAAGATTCAGTCCTATGCTTTTTCCTTTATATCATATTCCCCTTTCCCTTTGGGTTCATGCCACAGGATGTTGCGAATATGGTTTTGTCACCTCTATTGTTCCGAATTGTTAAATTCATGTTATATAAGATAGCAATATTTGTTTAATCTTCCCTGAATTTCAACTACATGTATTTAAAAAAAAAAATAAACGTGATGAAATATTCGGGCTTACTGTTCCTGTTTTAAATCATTCTTTATAACGCATACTTGCATCTATGTTTTACTATTTACGTTCAAATATTTGACGACATGTCTGTGAATTTAGGTTTAAACAAGTATACTAATAAAAAAACTTACCATCATAAAGGAAATGGCATGGAAAAAAGCAGACACGCTCAAATAGATAACCATCCTCTGAAATAGAGAAAAAAACAAAAATCAAACAAATCAATCCAATCCTGCAGAGTTAAGCCAAACTATTTTTTCATCTATGTTTTATTCGTTAATATCAGTTACCATGAGAGCCTAAGAGTAGGCATACCATTATATTTGCTGAATCTGTATCGTACCCATACCTGGACAAATGCCGCATACTTCCGGAACAGCCAAGATATCGATAAAACAAACGAACTGTAATATATCAACGTGAAAAGTTAGCAATATAAATTGAGATTATTACGTATTTTATTTTTGGTTTCACTGTGAATATCATCATTTTTGCAATATTTCTTTAATACATGGATAATGTTATTTCAACTCTCGTACTCAAGATCAACTGCTACAAATATGTACATATGACTTGACCAGAAATGTTTAAGCATTGAATTAACTGTATGGAAGAGAAAGAAAACTGTCTTTTCAAGAGATATAACTCTACAAAAATACTCTGATTGAAATGTTTCATAGAAGTATAGAAACAGAATCCCGTATTAAGAAATGGAGTTGTATCTGTTACACTGAGGTGAGCTTACCTTCCAATGAGGGAAAGACCTCCCGCGATGCCTCTTGAATATATTAAAATATCCTAGCAACAAAAATGACATATAGCAGAAATCATTTTAAAAGAAAAATCAGTGTACAAGAGATTATATATCTTTCCTCATTCCAAATTGTCTTGCATAAGGGAGGTCGTCAGCCTCAGACGAAAAAGTTACTTTTACTCTAATTCAAAGTCGAAGTCTTTAAAAACGCGACAAAGTTATAAAATCAAATGTTTATCACATATAGTTACGAGTCTAACTCATAACTTGGCACAAGGCAATAACATTTAGCTTATTCTGTTGTTCTTTTGATATAGCAGCAATCCTCTACTTTGCAGATGCAATACTCGATAATTTACCAATCACAGTAAATATGTATAGCTAACCTCAGAAAGAATTTATTGAAATAAAGATTCATCATGATTGTAAAATAAAATGTATACTGTTGTATGTGTAGCTGTTCGTGGAGTGTGATATATTCTTTGATTTATGGCTTAAGCTTTATCACCTGTCATTGCACCAAACAGGTTAGTGCAGTAGTGCTTCTGTTTTTTTTTTTTTTTTAGAATTTTCTATAAACACCTTTATTATGTAGGATTCTTCCTGTTTCTATATATATCGCCCTTATAAGTCATCACGTGTTATCTGGCATTGATTTAATCGATTTGGGAATAAAACAATAGAAACATTGCACCAGGTGAATGGCCAATTCCAACAGCTACATCTTTGTGAGGATATACCTATGCAGACATAGGCGACTATATCAAGTAATATGTTTGAGCAAACTCTATACACTTACCAGCAATAGGTAAACAGTATTGCATGATATATGAACATAATATACACACATACATGAAAACGATTTTACACTTACACAGTATTGTGGCGTCCCTGGAAACAGCAAGCAGTAGTCTGAGGTATTGTTTATGGTATCATTACCCGCCATTTTTATATATAATGTCGTCTGCTTCCAGAATGTAAGACAAAATGGCTCTTCATGTTTCACGTGATCTTCCGGGTGAAGCTAATTTGTTACCTTTTTAAATCGGATTTGGTCGTGGATGAACGAGCAAGGCATGGTAGTAATATATATCAGACATATTTCTACACATGAGTCTGTGTTTATAAGAGTGCTAATACAGGTGTGCACACCTACGTTAATTCTACACAGGTAGAAATACAGAGCCTACCTACAATACACAGCGGATTATTGATTTTTTGTCTTTGTTGTGATAACGCGTATATCATCCTTTTTTTTAAAAGAAAGATGAGTGATCTGTGATTGATAAAAGAACCGGTAATTTGAAAATAACACTATAGATAATTTTAAGGAGACATGAAGCATGAAACATAAAATGGCAGCGTGTATATCTCTGAGCGTAAATCAACTTGTTACCTAACAAAGATTTATCAATTTGACACGATGCAGAAGATGGAAAGTAAATATTTAGTAGTCTGTTACTTTTTTGGTTTTTATCTTTACCAACAATAAAGGGCGCCTAAATTTCTATCTTACCATTATCTTTTATCCTATTCAGTCTATGTCTTGAATGGTTCCTTTGAGCTCATGTCATGTTTTCATCTATAGATGTTATTCACTTCAAAGTGGTCGCTTAAAGGTCAACTTACGAATTACAATGCATGTTTTGTTATCAATTTCTTTTGTATTTGACTTCCTAATAAAGTCTTGTTGTAGGATTTCGCAGTCGTGAACCATTCTTCTATACCACTAGACGAACAGGACCCGATTACAAATGTCTTAATGGGCCTTGAACTGTCAATTATCTTGACTAATCTATAGATTTCATAGTATCTCCACGACAGTATGTCGCGTTTTAGATTAATTGGATCTAATACATTTAGTTATCACCTATCGCTATACAACGTCAAAGTTTTTTATAATGTATGTCTGTAATATTTACGGAAATATATTGTTATAAGAGCTTCGGCAATAAACTCATAATTGTATGTTACACGAGGTTAATGATTACTAATAAAGCTTTGGATCAAACATGATAATCAGTTCTTGAGAAAACGTCTCTTTTATAATATATGCAACATTGGCATTCCCTAGGGTATACACTATTGTACCCAATTCTAAAGTCTTTTCGGTATAAGACCTTTCTCTGCACAGAAAAGCGAAAAGGTTACAGAAACACATAATTGTAAATCTCAAAGGGTAAACTCGTTCACATTTGAGAACTTGACGTTACTTACATTGTACTTTGATTCACCAAATTGACACGGCGGGTCTCGTATATATGAAGCAAAAGGCGATTACTCTTCCGGAACACCTAGTCTTATTTTTTGTAGACTTTTTCAGATATTTCCGTGTTAATCTTTCTTCATTTTTTCATATTTTCACATTTTTTATTTAGTGAATTTGAGCTTTCTTATGATTCTATTCACGTTAATGATTTTTTTTGTTTTTGACAATATCAATATTGTGAAATGTATAGAAAGTTTTAAAACTGTCAGAACTTAAATAGGGTCACACGATTTTTGTATATCATTAATTGATGCAAATAAAATTCATGGAAATAGATTTTTATCAAATGTCAATATAAAAAATATACCACTTTATAGATATTTTTTATTTGTCCAAGGAAAAATATAACAAAGTATGTGTTGCTTAGAACAGTAACAAATACAGTTGAATATGGTACCAGAAATGTCCATCAGCATTATAGACAAATTAACATTGTTATCAAAATTTAATATGTACAGTCGAACCTCGTTGCCTCGAAGTAGACGGGACTGTGGGTGGACTACGACTTATCCAAGTTGGGATGTTTTGTGTGAAGTTTAGCCTAATTACTACAAAATTTAACAATGTCTTCGAGATACACGACGAAATCACGAGGTTCAACTGTACTTTTTCATGAAATACAGATAACTGACACCGAATGCAACGAAAAGTATACAAAAACATACATATGCAAGCTTAGAATCATTTTAAAAGTATAACCATATTCATTTATATACATTCTGCCTTGATGCGGCATGGGAGCTGATGAAAAAACTCTATAAAGTTTAGCGAAGGAAAGAGCTGTTTTAAACTGTACACTAAATTTTGTCCAATACAAATGTACATGAATGAAAAAGCACTGTGATAATTTCAGTCAACTTTTGGAACAAAAAAATTCATTGGTTTATTTATCTCATTTTATTAAATTACTGTTTGCAAAGTCTTAGATGGGTATTATAAGGTACCTTTCTTAATATTGAGAGAACAATTTCAGTTGAGTATACCTGCTAGCCGTGCCTTTATTTACATATGTTTAGCTTTAAGTATACTCTACCTATTTATGTCTAACTTGTGACGAAATCTTCACTATAAGATAGATATTTGCAAAGATAATATCAATTTTACTTTTTAGAAATGGGAAGCTGTAGAATATATTCAACCACAAAATTAATTTATTGTCAAAAATCATTTTGCTTCTTTTTTCAATCCGCAGAAATCTGTTTGAGGGTTCGCAAAGTATATTTATGTATCCTTTTTCATGTTAACACAGCAGAAACTAAACAAAATAAGAACTGTTAACGAGGACATAAGGAAAGTCTAAATGTGTTGTTCCATGAGATTTCTGCTTCTGCATGTAGTCACGGTTGAATGATTTGTTTGAAGTAAAAATATAACGAAATGAAATCATACAACTATTATAAAATAGTTAAGAAATCAAAACATTCCGCCTTAGTATATTTTACGCGATACGATTTTCTTTAGATGTGGCACATTTGGTTAAGATATCGAAGAGTATATAAATGGAACAGGCACAAGTATGTTTATCAAAGCTTTCAGCGGACGGAAGTTCCTAATTAAGTAGCCGTAAATACTTAACATCTAAACCCTTATCACGATCAGGTTTGGTCTACATAACTACATGAAAATTATACACAATGTAGATTTGGGTAACGTATGTTCACCAGTAACCATAAACAAAACAGGCAGGTACAATTATATAACAATCACAGGTCAGGATTACTATATTTATTTTCTTACAATTTATGTTAATTAGCGTTGCTGGTGTTAGTATACATTTAAAACATTACAATACGTTTAATTTACAAAAGAGTAAAAAAATGAGAGTATTTCATTTTAAAAAAGGTCATGGTAGATATAAGTAATATATCATTGTCTTCCGTCCATACACAGTACTATGTATACACCAATTAACGAAGAGATACAATTTGTACCTAAACACAATATTATCTACTACATATTGTCTGTACAGAAACCAAAGCCTACATTTCCCTAATCCTATTCTTGGATGTACGGAATGACGAGAAATATCTTTAAAATTGACTAAAGTTTCTTAAACCAGTTAAAATGGTTCGACAATAAAGCTAATTATTAACCGGATAAAAATAGGCGTCACATCTATCCAGCACTAGATTTAGTACCGGTAGGTTTTGTAAGCCCACGGCGTTGAGATGACTGGCTCCACTTTGTAGCTGACCCTTGTACTAGTGACAGGATTTAGCTTCAGTTTAGAAGCATCAGACTCAATTAAATGAAGTCGGTGGTCCAGATCGGATAGCAACCGCTGGTTGTGATAAAGTTTTGCTTGATCTCTAACATTTGATTCCAGAGCACTCTTCATCTCCAACTCTTCACGCTTTAATTCTGCCATTGCCGTATCGGTGCCAACGCGTTGTACCTGTAATGTACGGTGAACCTCCTCCATGTGGCGGGGAACTCTTGCCAAATCATCATACGCGTATTTGTCTTGGTAAAGTAAGGAATGCCTCAGAGGTGCATGGTAGTCTGAAGCTACAATCTGGGACGTCAAGTACGGTGATGTCACTCTCGGCGGGAGTGAGGGAATGTAGGAACGATATGGTAAAACGTGCATGTCCGATATATACGGTTTAGTGTAGGCACTGGTGACATATTTGTCAACGAGGTCAGCCTCTCGTCTGTGGTGTAAATTTGATACCCCTTCCCGTCTTGAAACGTATGCATCTGCCAGTCCTGTTATGTCTAAAGACGCGGGCTGGTTCACGTACTCTTTCATGGTTGTTTCTTTACCATGGGTCCTGTCGATACCTTTGCCCCACGCTTCTTGTATAGGGGTGTTCAGGAGAGAATCTGCGATCCAACCATCCTTACACAACCTTAGGATCGAAATGAATTTTCGAAATTTTCCCATACTTCTCACCCGTAATATGCCTAGCAAAGTGGTTATTTGTGTTTGGTCAGACTGGCCCTGAAATATACAAGGTTATATGTCAAATATTCATTAAACAGCAATGCCGGTAGTTGTTGCCTCTGTCATAGTAATTTTATATGTTTAGAACAGAGATCAAGAGATATAACTATGTCATGACATGGTTCAGTAGAAGGCTTATATAGGGATTGCCTGTTGCCCTATTCCTATTGTAGAAAGAACTGTACAATAAAATTGTTCTGAAATGAAAAAGACATGGTTACTGTATAATGGACGTCATCATTATTCCAGTTTGAAATATAAAATTTCCTTGGGTGACATGAAGTTAAATATGACCGAAGCCTGCTAGTATATGCCTATTAAGTAGCTTGCTATGAACTCGATTCTCATTGAAAAAAGTGACATTACTTAGTAGGACTGACCACAATGTGAGTAACGGTTGTCGTTCATGACGCATAATGTACATACCTTTCCCATTTGTATACCTTTATGGGCCTCCGGGCAAATCTTTCATTATTCATATTTTGGTTTTTTTTTAACCTTTTGTGAATTTGAAAACATTTTTTGTTGACATACTAGTCATCTATTGATCTTTAAATGTGTACGAGTGATTGATATAAGCTTACAATTTGTTTCGCATTTGTTGTAAAATAAATCAAGCTTATATTTACATGTGTAACAGATAATCCCTATATGTATATCTGAAGTGTAATGGTTGATAACAATATTATCGGCGGAACAAACGCCATGGAAGATTCTTCTCCCTATTTTCGAGTAAAACTGTCACTTTGATGTGTTTACAAATTAGCATGTTTATAAGAAAACACCACGTTCTTCATTGTACTGTACATGTGTAAAATAAATTAGAGTTGACTTACTATGAGAGAATGGCGAGTGTAGTCGTTGATAATGTCAGCCTCATACAGACGGTCGATCATGGTGACAGTCACCATCAGATGGCGTCGCAGGAATTCATAATTTCTGTCAATTACCAGTTTAACACGTGGGTCTTCCATAGTGGACAAACAAGAGTTTTTTTTCTATAGCACTTAATAATTCTCCGATTTCAGCTAGGTGTTTGTCGACTAATAGATCAGTAAAGCTATGTGTAGTATATCTGCAAAGAATAAAAATAGATCATTATATAAGGCATTAAGATATGCGCTTTGTAGAAAGATTGGATCATTTTAACAGCAATGCTATTTGATATAACTAATCAGTTACATGGACCTGACTTCAATGAAACCATATGGACAAGAAAAATGCAGAAGTGAGGGTTTTACTTATTGTATTGTTTTCATAAATGATTTCTAAATACATTCAAAATGTTTTATTGCGGTGGTGACAAACGCTAAGTATGTAATTACATAGGGGAGACAACTCCATCTACAGTATGCTACCATGAACATTCATCTCATAACGCCATTCATGCGATAGATTTGAATTTTGTAATATGCAAATGAAACTTTACCCATTGTTTCAGTTACAACGTGGAAATGCGTAAGTCGTTCAGGGCACATAGATTCGACAATACACTCAAAAACGCATTTTGAGTATACTAGTATAGGATTTGGTTTAGTGACAAAATGGGGTTTCATCGGAATTTTACAAATATTGATCTGTTTAAACCCATGAAACGCAAACATTATCAAGCTTAAGTTATTTCTAAGCAAAAATGTGCTGATATGATGAAAGTGACACCAAATCAATCTAACATACCTGCTCTGTGGCATTGTTAGAATTAAGGGTTATCTCAGGTGTATTATTTCTGTAAATTTGAATCGATTGTGTGACACAATCCATAAAAAATGCAACACAACACACATGGTTTGATAGTATTGTAACTAATGATACGTTGAATAGTACACCTCCAATCCCTGTGTGTCAATCTATGTTTAGATTACAGACTAAAATATCTGCCTAATTAAAATGCTAAATACGATAAAGTGTGTATTTAATTCTAACTTGGTGGTAATTCCTTATCACTTCAGGTTACAGAATGTCGCCGACGACGTGCTTTTGTCTCTACCTAATAACCTATTATCAGACAGCAGTAAATTGTTACAATATATACAGAGATATGTCTCCATTGTGTCTTGTATATCTACTGCCGACTGTATACCTGTATATAGTGTAAAGTAACTCATGATGTGTAAACATAAATAGACCACTGTCCCATAAATGTGAAACCCATGCAATACCTGACTGGTTATACTTCTAGAAAATGTACTTGTTTGTTAAACAGTGTCTGTAACGCTACTGACATACTAATTAAATCAAATATTGAAAGATTCTATTAGTTTTAATTAATCTCCACATTCACAAATATTCCATGATAATGCAAACATGAAATATTTGTGAATGTGAATGTCAAATCTTATTTCATACGCTTGTGGAAATACACAAAGCGTTACCATAGCAATAATTCCACTTACGTAGATACGCCACTCCAATACATGTACGTACATGTTTCATATTTGTGTCAGATCAATTTTCAGAAACACACATTCCGAACAACAGAAACCGGTCCTAAACACATCTTATGCAAAACCTACATTGTACGATAACAGGTATTTCACAATAAATTTTATCAATACTACACCTCGTCCGCTTCCATTTCATACACACATTGTCGCGTATTCGCGCTGATTTCGGTATTGTTTTACCTTTCAGCACATATCATCAGATCAGGTACTTATATCGTACAAAACTCATTGATAACAACTATATAACCTTACCTTGATGGCCAGAACTTTAGTGACACATATTCTCATTAACACTTCTATGCCCTGTATTTCAAATCATATTTTGCTCGTTGTCACCAAACAGAAAGAGTAAATGACTGTCGTGTAGTCATCGATCTCTAATCTACCACAGTCAACAAGCCTTGGCCTAGCGTAAAATCAATACCTAATATAAATAACTCGACCCACAGGCGTACCAAAGGTACTGTCAGTTTAAGAATACACAACACATATCTACCCCACAGGCAAGCACTGTCAGCTTAACAAATACACAACACACATCTACCCCACAGGCAATCTCTGTCAACTTATCCAATACACAACACACATCTACCCCATAGGTAAGCACAGTCAGATTAACTAATTCACAGAATACATCTACCCAACAGACAAGCACTGTCAGCTTAACCAATACACAGAATACATCTACCCAACAGACCAGCACTGTCAGCTTAACCAATACACAACACACATCTACCCAACAGACAAGCACTGTCAGCTTAACCATCGACCTCATACTCTAACAAGAAAAGCTGTAAGTTAAGCAATACACATGTATGCACATCATCGATGTACCCGACTGGTTAATCTGATATATATCATCATATGATCACTGACAGCACTGTTAGCTTCTGCAGTATTATACAAAATCTTAGACGTTTCTAACCATCCTATTGAATACTGAAGTTCCGATACATGTACACTTCACATCATAGTTGTAGAATATTGCATATCCCAACAAAAGTCTACATTTATCGATCCAATGAAACAAAACGTAAACAGAAACATGATATTAATTATAATCGATTTTATCATACCTGTATAGAGTACCTTGATAAAACAAAGTATTTCCAATAAACATTATATATATATATGACACACGGATGACCTTGCTTGTGTAAAAGCATGTCAGTGGGATTAGGCTTAGTTTTAAGTTAATTCTGGTGGTTCTTTATAGAAAGGTCAGGGTTAGTTTTTAGTCCTACTTGATACACATAGAGGTACCGTTCAGTTATTTACATTGTAGAACAAAGCTTCGCAATATTGTAAAAATAAGAAATCACCGAGACCTTATTGTCGTAAATTCTTTTTCACGACAACATGTGATTGAAAACAGTTTCAATAAACACTACGACTTGTATTTATAGTTAAATGGTAAGGACCTCAAACATTGATTGACAGAAGGTTTAGGTTAACGGCCTATATCATTATAACAGCCAGTGTTAGGTAAACAGAGATTTTATATACATACAATGTACAAGGCTCAAGTAAATTTCAATAGACAATATATCAATATAATGAACGGGGCAATGGAGATATGTGTATACCACCATCTGATTGATACCTACTGTGTTGTAATATCAAATCCATTTTACACTTGGGATGATGTTTGAAATATAAAAACTCGTTCTAGATATACACATTCACATATCTTGGCCTTTAAAGCAAAAACATATCGTGTTTATATTAATCTCTCAACAGGTGAGCTTTGGGTGAGTTGGAGCATAAGGCAGATACATTTACGAGGGTGTGTGGGCTTAAACTTTGTTTCCATTTTGCGAGTTTCATATAATCTCATATGAAATAAAATCGGTAATATACTTTCTATCACATAACATTGAAAAGTTATAATTTGACAGGATTTTAACTAAAAATTTGGATGACAAAACCAAATGGGCGTAGACATCTTAATGTATCATTTTTAAATTCATGACGTAACGCCATTTTTGATATGACACAGTGACATGTACATTATGTCCAATCAACTTCTGACCGGTTAATAAAAAACGTTCACGGGTATATTATACTTGTGATATTTACGCAAAATATTACAAGGACAAATTTACTGGAAAACAGGCAAAGTATGTGATGAATCAAGATAAATAAAAGTATTGACATTAGATTACAAAAGATTTATCAACAAAATGAATTCCTATTTTAAGGACAGATAGACTATCAACCTCATGTAAAGTCAATAACAGTTTTATTATATGACAATGCCGAAATGGTGCATGCAGGCTCTATATTGGGGGATATCAAACTATTGAAATTCAACAGAGAATATCAGAGGATGTCGTACATATTTAATAACTAAACATCTTGTACATAGACGAAAAAACGATATGTAAAATAATGGAAGATATATGTGAAAAGAAGGTGCGGTTACTGATACTGAAGGTCGAAAATCATACTATCACCAGATAGTCAACTCTAAAGAATGGGAGGATATGTCAATAACAATTCTTTGACATATCCTCCCATTCTTTAGAGTTGACAAAAAGAAGTAATCGACAGGAGGGGAAAGGTTTAGAAATTACAACAAAAATACAAAAAAGGTATGAATATAAACTTATTTCATTATTGAATAATGCTAAAAATTAAAACACAAATATTTTTCGAGATATTACGGTATACATCATCACTTCATTCGATTGATCAAATTCAGAGGGTAGCACTGTAGGCTATTCTCTCAGCGAAAATTTTTGAAAGTCCCTTCTTTCTTTATTTAGGCACGAATAAGTGTTTTATTTTCATATTGACGAGGCGCTCCTTTTCGAACTGATGATAAAGAAGTATGATATTCATGGACCAGTTCCAGATATCATGACTTAAAACGGAAAGGATTTTAGCCATGTAAATATATAACATGTTTACATACTGTAATACCTGTCAGTAAATTTTATCATAATGTGATATGTTTTTATAACTTGGTAACGAGGTTTACTCAGACGAGATAATGTTAAATGGTTAGTGCCCAGTTGAAAGGCAGCAATATGCGCTTGTGGCCTACTTGTTCACTAACAGTACGGAATTGGAGTCGACTTTATAGTGTTACCACACTGCAATGTACTGCAAAATACTGCCCTAAATTACGCCCATGCTATATAAGCAGCAGGTACAATTCTAACATCCTACTTGCATATCAGGTCTGTAACGAAATACATTTGCTTCATACGCCAGTATATATGTGTGTATGAGATTTCGATGGTAAGAGATAGGTTTAACACTGTTTTGGGGTGTAATATCTGTCTAAATTGTGTTCACTTGGTGTAATATTCCAACAATTATAAAAAAGGAAGAAATTCGAGACTCGAAGTTGAGAAGAGAATAGAAAGTAGGAGAGCACAGAAATTCATTACATGATCATGTAAGACGTAACACGAGTTTTTATAATCACATTTATAACAAGTTTCCTGTATCATATTTACCATCACATAGGCATCTCGTGCTATATTTAAAATCGAACCGGTTTGACGGAGCACATTTATGTA